ATGATTGGAAATGTTTTACACCCCCATCAACACATTTTGCATCATTCAGCTTGATGAAAAAAAGAACCTCATCACTCAAGAATTGAACTCACTTCTTCTGCATGCTATGACAAAGACCACTTACACCACATGATGATAAATGTTTGTCATAGCACATTTGTGAGACAGCGTGGTGGAATCAGGCTCTCGTCAAAATATTCAAAGTGAAGAAACTGGCATTTTTTCTCAGGTTTGTGAATTTTTATCAAATTTTTGTTTTTTGGCTCAACACCTTTCATGCCCATTAAAGAACTCATTTCTGTGTGGATTTTTCTGAAAATAACCGATTAGAGGCACAAAAAAATGTAAATTTTCAGTTACCACGGACTTTTAAGCTAAGGAAATAACTAATCTTTGGCGGCCTTTTTCTCACTAATTTTATCTCTGAAAACAGGTGATCCCCACCTCCTTCATTCACAAATATCTTAACTTGTATTCAAGATAAATGTATATTTTTTTCATCCAAATAAAGACAAGTGAACAAGCTTTAAGATGAAACCAATAACTCTACATGCCCAAAAATTGACGAGAGCCTGATTCCACCACGCTGCCTCACATTTAGACTTTCCACATTTGTTACAAATAATTACGATGGTGGCAGGCAGAACTCGTAGGTCCTATTTCTTTACTCTCTGTCTATTGTTTCTTTCTGTCTGTCTTACTTTTTCCCCACCACTAAATGACCATTATTACATCGATGTGCTTTTTTTACTCAAACAAACAAACAAATAATTACAGGATGACAAACATTCAAAGGCACTGGAATGTTTATTGAATAAATTAAGTGTAGGGCTACAGCATAGACAACATGAGGTACGTCATGTAATAAAATGCTGGAATGCTGACAAAGATGACTTTGGCTCATCTCCAGAATAAGAATGCTAAACATCAAGAAAGTTGAGCTCATAAATACCATAAATCATGTATAAAAAAAGAACTGGACCCACTACTACTGGTAGTAGCACATGTGTAAACTAGAGAACTTGATCTTGTGCACAAGAACAAAACAAACAGATTGACCTAATTCATGTAGTCTATAAAACAGAACTTAACCCTGTATACAAGAATAAACAAATTGACCACGTACAGGTGCAAAGAGACTTCTGATCTAAAATGAAGAACTTGACCTGGTACATAAGAATAAAACAAAGAACTTGATGAAGTGGTACATGTATACATTAAATGGAGCACTTGACCTAAAAATTAAAACACCTCTATAGATTTATACAACACTAGTTGTTGTGGAGCAGGAGCGTTTCAGAAATAAATAAACTGTTATGACCATCACTTACAATTAATCGTGAAATCAATAGGTCTTACCCCTGGTGGTGCGTAAAATTGCCGGTACTCCTAGCCATTGGGACATCAGTGAGGGAGACTGAGACCCTATCCCCAACCTGAGCCCGTCTGGGACAATACACTCACGGAAAATAGAGTTAGCTACACAGGACATTGTTGATTATTTTGAAGATCTTTCTGAATTAGATGCTGATAATGACGAGGACTACCCTGATTGGGAAATGTAATGTGATTCTGACGAGGATATAAATGTGAGGGGAATATAGGCGTGAATCACTCAGGAGCCCAGGCAGAGGGCACGGTAGCTTCAGGAGGTCAGGGCTCAAAGAGTTAAGTCATTAGTGGGTCGAAAGAGGCAGATATACTTAGTAAGGGAACATGATAAATCTTCTCCATTGTGATGAACTTTGTCAAACATATACAGTGGAGTTTGCTTAAAAACCAAAACCTGGGGGGGAGGGGGGGCATCACATTTCTTTGGTTTAGAGAGGTTGCTCAAACAGAACAAGTAGAAGAAAAACTTATTGGGGATTTTATTTTATTTCAGTTTTCAGTTGATTTGGGATAAACCGTGTTTGGGTTAAGAAAACTCCACTGCATATAAATTTTACCAAATGCTCGAAGTAAGACTGTCATAGTCATACATCACTTTTTCATATGGCATATGGTAGGAAGGGTCTTATTGTAAACAGTCAATATGGTGTCTTAGGTGCTTGAATCAATAATTTCCACAAACAAGTTTTGACAAATTACCCAAATCCTGAGCCAAAATTTGTGTTTGCATACAAATGCCTTTTTTTCCAGGTATAATTATCATAATAGATGGAAATAGGCAACGGAATCAAAGCTTCACAACATAAATGACTTGTTTCTCAAAACAGTACATCAGGCGGCTGTGATTAAAGAAACAAAGTTTTTTAAATTTGCAAATTACTTTGCTCCTATCCAATACTTCTGATTTCACACCAACCAAAAATTGCAATTTATAGCACGTATTCATATATATATATATATATACATTTGTAAAACTAATCAATAAATGTTTTTAATCAAATTTAGAATGTCTTGACTTTAGTAGGTATAAAAAGTTTTAAAAATCAAAGCAAGAATGTTAATGTTAGATGAGATTACTTTTGTTGTTCTGATGTACGATTTTTTTAAAAGATTGATCCTTCACTCTCAAAAATAAATTTACCCGTTAAAATTGTGATGGAAACTTCTGCTGGAAAAACAAATTTAAATATGTATTCTTTGTTCCCAGTAAGTTGTGGAGTTTGAAAAACTTAAACATCAATGCTAAAGCTTCATGAAAGAAAAGAGAGGAAGAGAAATTACACGATTTTCTTTCCTTTACAATTTATCCTAAAAAAAGAAAAGTATGTATGTGAGAGAGAAAAAGGAGTTTAATTTTTTTATCACAAAAAGATATATGTGAAGATGAGAGGGACAAAGGAGTTCTGCGTTATCTTTCTTCTGTTGCGAGTCAACAAGAAAAGGAAATCAAAATGTTTGTTTTGGTTTCTGTGCTTTGTAAACATCATCACAAAACTTATACAGTATTGCACAGATCGTCATAATGCAGAAGAACAATTCAGTCCAACAAACCTTTTTTGTGGTATTAAAAAAAATGTTTCAGTCACAATGTGTGTATGAGAAGGACATTTTCACACAGAAGAAACAAAACATTGAAACCAAATGCCCCAAAATATGGTTACCAAGAATTCATTGCCTTGAGTCATAACACTGTATTAGAACTGCGATATCTTACTCAAAGCAAGCACTAAATACAGACAAAAGCACTGAAGAAACACTTCAACAACAGTAAAAGTAGTGGGCCATTTAACCCCTTCGTTGCACTATGACATTCCTGGTACGTCATGAAAACGCGTAATACTTAGCGCTGTGCCATACCATGTACGCCACGAAATTGGCAAAATCTGTCCCTCCTGGTTGCCTGTATGATGTTACATGTACGTAACGCTAATAACCTGGCTCTAATTCTTCTGTATGGAGTTTTACTCTTTAGCCCCCAAGTGCTGCGTAGATTCGTATTCGGGAACGAAAGACGCGAGTATCTGTACCAAATTTGCTAGTATTACTTTACTGCTAGGCTTGCAAGCGATCGATAAACACAGATCTAGGTTTGTGGGTGGCCGTGTGCTCTCATAAATTTTAAACGTACACATCAAAAAGATTTTTTAAAGTACAATAAATTCACTTTTTGCCTTAGATTTGCAGGTTATTCGAAATTAAGAGTAAGATGGGAGAATCGGGGAATAGAAAATGTGAGAAAAGTGACAATCGAAGACCCGGTGTCTGAAATACGTCGAGTGCGCTGGATCTAGATCAAGAGTGTCCACTAACACAGAGACATTAGGCTGCTGTCCTGAGAAACTAGCTCAGCTGAAAATCAGTGCTGACAGTAGGAATGCATACCCCGTGGCAACGAAAGGGTTAAGCAGTATTTACAAATCTTTCAGTTTCAGGAGGCAATTCCCAAGTCGGCAAGGTAAGGCACAAAGGTTGAACAGTTGTAAATTTACATAGAGAGTAAGAAACAATATAAGCACTTTAACACTGTATATTTTGTTCTTTTTTGCACCAAATTTCAAAACAACCTGATACTGTTAGAACAGGAAGATAATGTTCTGAGCTGTTCCCTTCCTTCCTCATCTGTGCTGGGCCATTTTACCTTACAAACAAACGGGGCGGAAGAACCTTGAAGTCTGTGTCTAACCTAAACATTACAATAAAAAAAGGAATTACTAAAATGAAATCAATTCGTAAACTCCACCTCAAGGGCATGAAAAAGGAACAATTGGCTATTACAACTATACAACATATAATATAATATAATATAATTTGGTATAATCAATTTATGTTCCTTTGAAATTAAAAACATTTTAAATCCCGACATGAACTCAGTAAACACAAAATTATCGTACAGTAATATAATTAATGCTGAAACAAATTTCCCTCTAGCAATCTACCAAAACAGCTCTTCATTTAAAACAAAGCTCAGTGTTTCTTAAAAATTATTTGATCTACTACAACCGCTACATGTACGAGTCTTGCAGGACAGTGAAATAAAAGCTAGCTTTACATTTGGTTCAGAATAAGCACATGTATATTGGCATTAGAAAAAAACTCCCCAATAAAAGTGAACTGTTAATGGAATGTAAAAATTCTGCTGGCCGTGCAAAGATCACTGATTGTACAAAAAAAGGAAGTTAAAGAACTAGCATTGTGAATGAAGAGATACTAGTGGAGAAAGATCTACAAACTTGGAAAAAACCAATAGTCACTGAATAAGTAGGTGTACCAAGATACTTGTATTTCTACAAACTTAATACATATCTGATCATCAATCAATAGGATCATCCTGAGATGGGCAGTATTGAAACTAAGATTTCACAATGAATTTGAATTTTCACGACACTAATAACAGCTTCCGTTGAAGATTTGCCCAGGAATAAATCCAGATATATTACTATTACATGGAATCTGTGCATGTAAATAGTTAACTTAAAATACATATGTACAAAGGAATGAATGAACAGTTAAAACAACAACTCAAGTATGCAGTGTCCAGCACCACAGTGACTGACATCATGAAGACCTGGCATTGCCAAACATTTTATATATATATATATATATATATATATATATATATATATATATATATATATATGACTCTCTCCAACGCACACCTGGCATTGCCAGATATGTCTATATATATATGTGATTAACGACTCTCTCCGACGCTCAATGGCACTTTTAACATGGTAAAGTAATGTTTCTTGAACATCAAACATAAACCAAGAGTTGAAAATTGAGTAGGATAAAAGTGAGTCGTTGGAAAGATTCAAACAATGAAACTTGCAGTAGCAGTACAAAAAAAGTGTACAAAATTTTTTTCTGATGTCATGAACACTGAAAGAAAAGCGTACCCTCTGTGCTTACCTATCATACAAGCAATTTTTCTAAAATTAGGTCCAAAAGTATACCGTTTAGGTAGTGTCTACATTCTATAACGTTAGAGAACGTATACAAGTTGTCTACGTTCTCTAATGTTAGCAGAGAACCTAAAAATAGCTCACCCGCTCTATCTAACATGGAAACGAGTCGACATTGCTGCTTCCACAGTGCTTACACTTTATTTTCGCAAGCTGTTAAGTTTACTTTCGTGAAATTAAAATGCTCGCGAAAGTAAAGCTGTCTTCAGTACCGCATCTTGCCTTTACAGCGACGTTAAACCCCTAACAAGCAACCAACACCTTTCATCATTCCATCGAGATGACACCACCCCCCCCCTTTTTCATAATAATATGTCGTAGGCCTACACTTTTCACCCAAGGAAGGTGCACTCTGATGCTTCCCCCCTCAACCCCCCCTAAAACTTAGAATAAGTCACTGAAGATCAGGCCGTCTGGAATGAGTATTTAGAAGATAGCTTGCAGTTTACATACGATTTCGTATTCCTACCTCAAAGTCAAGGTAGGCCTATGTGATACAACATGAGAGACCATAAATGATACCAAATTCACATGTGTGGAAAAACATTGCCGATTTGGTGTGTGTTGTAACATCACTGTCATAAAATCAAATCACGTGGGTCAAGGTCAAGTCAGTCATATCAATGCTGGGTCTACGATAGGCCTAGATCTAGATCTAGTGCATAAAATAACCCAATTCAATGAGTGGACTGGCGGACCTATTTCATGTAGATCTAATGACACAACATAATGTAAACCAATTTGAAAAAGAAAAAGAAAGATTGAAAAGTAGCCTAGCCTTATCCGGAAGTTCAAATAGGGCCCTACAGGCTTAATATTGTTACTTTGTTTTATTCGTTAGAGAATGTAGACAGCTTGTATACATTCTCTAACGTTAGAGAACATAGACACTTCCTACCGCTTATTACACGTGCCACATATATAGCCATGATCGAGCCCAACAAAGAGGAAGTAATGCAGAAAAAGATTTTCATTTGAACAATTACCAATGTTCTAAACATTAGACCATTGGTGGGTGGCTTTCCTTCTACTCGTACTACTGACATTTCAAGTCAGGTAGGCCAGTCTGAAGAATAAGGGAGAAATGTACGAGACCAGCAATAAGCTGACTAGTACCACCCATGTTGAACCCTCTCCAGCATGTTAGAAATTCACCCAGATTTACGCCTGACCTACAAAAAAGGATCACTATTGAAGTTAAAAGGATACCACCAGTATTATACAAGAGGTCATGTTATAGGTGAGTACATAAGGTATATTATAGTGACGAAGACATAAAGTAGCATTATTTGCGTATTTAGCACCTCGGGATGATTGGAGGCCACGGGGGGGTACAGTGTTGTTGGCCAATGTGTTCCTGAACAACTTTGGGAAAATCATACACCTTTATCTGGAAGAAGTGCAACACAGAAATTTGTTCTGTCTTGAGGTCTGCATGCAGTGGAGGCATACAACTCCCCCCCCCCCCCCCCCCCGCAAAGACACTAACCAAAATTGAAGTAGACCTATACTCAAGTCAATGTGTTCCTCTATACAGTGGAGCCTGCACTAAGGAACCATTCATAAATGATGTCACTCAGAGGAGAGGGGTGTGTGTGTGTGTCAGTGAAAAGTTGACATGGGGGGGGGGGGGGGTCCTTACAAGGTTGACGTCAACTATGATGCTCTCAAAGGTTGGGAAAAAAAGAAGAAAAGAAAGGGGATCACCTGTCTAAGATTAGGACTTTTCTCCTCAACAATGGTTCAACAGGTTCAACTGCATGATTCATATATTTCAACATTTGGACTCATGGTTCCATTGTTGAAGTATCAACAGCAAACTTGTTATTTCAAGACACACGCGTCATAATTAAAAATAATTTCTTCAACACTATGCAAACAGAGAGCCATCTTGTACTAATTCCAAATTCTGACTTTTGGAAGTTTTTGTCGCATCTAAAAAAAGGCTTTTAAAAAACCTTCCCTTTGCCCCAAAATCATTCTGGTCTATGTCCAAGTTTCATAGAATTTCAGTTTCATTTTGCATTAGCCCCTGCTTTCACTACAGGATTTCAGTGCTTTCAAAAAGTGATTTACATAAAAACGGAGTTAGCACAAGACAGCCCTAAGCTAGCCACTATAAAGGCTACTATTGAAAGTTGAGGTTTTGAAAAACAACCAAGCAAAAACGAAAATGAAACAACCAAACTGTGCTATCTCACCCATATTATATCCCAATTTTTAAATACGTCACATGAAAAAAAGTCAACCAAAGAGACTAACCGGTACATACAAATAAAAAACACAACCACTGGTATCCAATCTGACTTTCTCATTTTATGGGAAAACAGAATAGTACAATACCTGGACTGTGCAACAACCACATAAAGCTAAACAACGTGCATGTAAACCTATTCTCCACTGGCAAATACAAAGATAAAAAAATAAACACTTGGCAAGTAACCGGTACAAAGATAAGTGTGTAAAAACCAGCCGGGCATCAAAAGTTCTCTTTGTTGTAGTAGAAATAAGTTTTTGACTCTGAGCTGGAGAATCTGTTACAGTGTTTGTGCAGAGTGGAGGACAAGGACTTTGGTCCGCAGAAGAAAACACCGATCCTCTCGCTGAGGAGACAAAACAAGATGAAAGGAAAAACAATGAGCCAATAATCAACAGAGTAGAAATTTTTGTGATAGAAAAATTCCGGTATATGTTCTTACTCTAGTTATTCAATATTTTTGCTAGTTATCTATCTATAGAAGGTTGAAGGGTGCAACTGGAAGGTCCTGCCTCTTTTTTTTCCTTCTGTTGTTTCTGTTGATCTTCCATAATTATTCTCTGCACTAAATGACTTTCATTGTGCCAATTTGTCTTACTTTAATCGAATGCAAAATCTATAGAAGTAACGCAACATTTTACAGCATTGTTAAGACAGACATTAAACATTCATTGGCTTCAAACTTTTAAATAATTGACTCATTGAAGACGCAAGTTTTTCACCGAGAATTTCCTTGGAAACGCACGATTTCTACCTTTAAAAAAAAAATCAGTGTGATAAACCTATCAACTGTACAGGTAAAAAATTTGACACAAAGTAAGATCATCATGTTTAATTACATACAATGTATTTATTTTTACAAAACTTTGCAAAAAATTTTGTTTTCTGTGAAAAAACACATTATACGTAAACGTGAAAAAAAACTTTTTTTTATGTGCCAAGCACATGGATGTCAAAATCGACCGTTGTAAAATAGAATGGTTTCAATCAAGTAATACAAAGTGATATTATCTATAAGAATAGTGACATTGCTCGGAGCATTGTCATCTCCTGAATCAATAATCCCGATCGCTTCATTGGTAGTGAAAGGAGCATCCAGCAGATCTCTGTTTCTTGTTTATGTAAAAAGTAGGTCAGGTCAATGTGTTTTGGTACACTGCTTATAGTAGACAATTCGGGTGACCAATGGTCAAAGGGATACCACCACAATTAAATTAAATGGTTTAACTAACACTGGGAGTCATTCCCTTTGAGATTCTATTAGTTTTTAGGTACCCCCAAAAAATGGTACGCATCTTCAGCGTTTGTTGACCTGGCTGGGTCCCGGGACCCGACACGTCTTCAATGAGTTAATAAGTAACAGTAATTAGCACTTCACTGCAGGCTTGACACTGACTGTTGCAGCCTGGGTGCTCAAAACTACTTAACACCTGGGATCAAGTTTACAAATCCTGCTTCAGACTGAAATTTAAACAATGTTATCTCTTCAAAGTGAATCTTTGTTCACCTTTCAGTTTCCCTTTTTCCAGTGTTGTAATAAATTTCTTCGTTCTTGAGCATTTGCAAAAAACGTCAAGATTCTGAGCTTTTAAAGCATGAACCATCTGAACAAAGCAAATAATAATTGCAGCTGAAAGAATGTCCAGATTTTCATACATGTGAAAAGCAGGATAACTTTGTGATCTCACTCTAAGGACTAAAATTAGGCCCATAAAAAGTCTTTGGAACCAAACCATTAGCTGAGAAATCTTGGACAGTCACTCACCCTTTGTGTGATTCAGCTTGTTCTTTAAAAATAGTTTCCCACTGTGGACGGCCGTATTGAGTCTTGTGGTGAAGTCCCGTAACAGCATCGTAGTCGGAGAAATCATCATGAAGCATGATGTTCCTTGCCTGAAACAAAAGCTCAAAGTCAGGTCAAGTTTCTCCAACACCAAATATGATTCTAATCTTGGTCCTAGTGGGCACACCGTTAGCTCAGTTGGTATCATGCTGGATTATGGAGACAACACCGGTTCGGAACTTGGGTTATTCTGGGGGAGTTTTTAAGGCTCTCCAGACACCATGGTGACTATGTTCAGTCCTATCGGAGATAAACATTAAATTTAGAAGTCCTGCCTCAAAAACAACCATACAGTGTTGAAAGGGGAGTAAAACCATTATTATGAAAAACAGAAGCGACCGTCAAACTTCAAAAGTATAAAATCGGCGTCAGAATTATTTCAATTGTATTTTAGTAAAACTGAATAAAAATGGTAACGATTCCACTAAATTCGTAATGATGGGCAGCCCTGCATAAAAAGTTATTGAGAGATAAAACTTTTTTAATAAGTACCAAAATTCACAAAGAAAGTCTATTATCATGGATAAAGCCTACCTGATTGGCATTCCAGCCACGGGTTAAATGTATGTTGTACTGCAGAAAGTCTGGCATGTTCTTCTGCCTCATCTGTCGCTCAAGGTCAAGAAGAAGACCTTGAAACCATTCGAACGCGCTCGTATCAGGGCACACCCAGTAAAGGTAGACTTTCTTCAAGGACACTGTGGCCTTTGGGTCGCAAAACTTGTACCTATAAAAAACAACAGTTTTTGCTTGGTTTCTGAAGTGACTTGAAAAAATAAACCCTGTAAGAAAGTGCCAGGTACTGACTGGGAGTTCACACAGATTTTATAAATAGGTGACACTAAAAAGCTTTCCAGCTCATTTATTTGCCCACAAATTGACCAGAGGAATACTCTACTTCAGTAAAGTAGCTGCAATTCTAACAGTCAGCATTTCAAAAAGTTATTGGGATGTGATTTCATCTTGATAAAATTACCATGAACTGTTTAAGGGCTCATTTTGACTTTTTTTTTTTTGCCTTACAGATATTGTTCACTTTCTAAATTGTTGTCATAGTGTTGTTATTTTCTTCACCTTCACTTGCTTTCTGTTTTTTTATATTCGCAGTGGCTTGGAAGCCATGTGTCAGACACTAAGCTGATTAAAAACAGGTACTGCACTTAGATCTTGGCCAAAAGGCAGAGAAGTGATTCCATTCTCAAATACCTTTCCCACAGCACCAGCCACAAACGTTTTGCCAAGAGAGTTTGTTTTATTGTTTTAGTAAGAGTTTTACGGCAGTTGCAACACAATTAGATCATATATATGCTGAAGATGACAGGTTTTACATGAGAGTAACAAACACAAAAAAAGAAGGAGGGATAAGGACGATAGATATTCGATAGGAAAGAAGGAGCAAACCACACCTTTTAGTTTTAGTAAGAGTTTTACGGCACTTGAACACAATAAGGTTATATAAGTGCAGAAGATTAGAGGTGTTACAAGAGAGAAACTAACACAAAAAAGGAGGCGAGATCAGGGCAATCAATGTTTGGTAGGGAAGAAGGAGCAAACCACACTAGAGCACCCGCCAACCACCCACAGTCAGGAGAATAAGGCCCCAAAAAATCACTGTTTTGAAAAGCAGAGAAGAGGGTGTGGCCCAACCTGTAGAGTATTCAACATTTGGAATTTTCTCTTTTACTAATTTCCATAAACGATATATACCTCAAATCAGAACACAAGCACAAAAAATATATCCTCATCTGACTAAAAACCATAAATCAAGTTACATGACGTATTGCAACATAGATTTGTTAGTTTTAGTTTTAGTACAGGTTTTACAGCCCTCGCAGCTGCATAAGGTCATATGAGCGCCAAGGGGTGGATGTCAACAGAGAAGTCCTTACAGGGAATCAGACTTACTCTGCTCACCTCTCTAGCTTCAACAGCACAAAGTCTGCTTCAACTATCAAGGCACCTGGAAATAATGGGTCACAAGAGTGTGACAAACATACAAAAGAAGTAGAGGAAAAAATGACGATAGTACGGATTAGGAAAGAAAAAGCAGCAGTTCCCCGTTGTAGATCAGGCACAGTTATGAGCGTGACATGGATGAATCAGCCCATTTACAATTCTACTGTGCATGAACGAGAAATGTCCTCTCTTTGGGAAAGGCCTAAAGACATTTCAGTCAGTGGCACCGCCCCGGGGGTATAGATTTGTTAATGTTTGTTGTATCATGCCTTTTCAAGAAAAAAAGCTATAATTCCTAATCCAAGTACCAAGACTTTTACCATAGGGGAGTAATTGAGAGATGAAAAAAAGTAAATTAAATTGACACACGTATAGCAATATTTCTCTGACAAGCAAATTAATTCATGTTCAAATCCTGAGACCAAAATTTACAACATCGAGAAAATATATTGTTCAAAGCATAACAGAGAGAAAAGTGTGAAAGAATTAGAAGCACAGAAAGAAACACATGTACATAAGAGGTGGGCAAAATCCGGATAAATATCTGGATAATCGGATTATTCTCAATGAAACATCATCCGAATTCAGACTCTAAAACTCTCTTTCCTAACCCGTTTGCCGAAGTGGGTGCACCCATTTGTGGAAATGATTCTAACCCGTTTGTCGAAGTGGTTCTAACCCATTTGCAGAATCGGTTCATAACATATTATATACCGAAAAAGTGCACTAACATATTATCCGGATTTTGCTAAAGCGACTCTTTGCCCACCCCTAATGTACATGCACAGTACAAATAACCCTCACAAGCCATACTGATTTTTGTCCCCCCAGGGTAAGACCACAACCATGACGTGTCTGTATCAGAAGAGGTCAGTAAAGCAAATAAATGAGATCCTTTGCCCGTATCAGAAGAGGTCAGTAAAGCAAATAAATGAGATCCTTTGCCCGTATCAGAAGAGGTCAGTAAAGCAAATAAATGAGATCCTTAGCCCGTATCAGAAGAGGTCAGTAAAGCAAATAAATGAGATCCTTTGCCCGTATCAGAAGAGGTCAGTAAAGCAAATAAATGAGATCCTTTGCCCGTATCAGAAGAGGTCAGTAAAGCAAATAAATGAGATCCTTAGCCCGTATCAGAAGAGGTCAGTAAAGCAAATAAATGAGATCCTTTGCCCGTATCAGAAGAGGTCAGTAAAGCAAATAAATGAGATCCTTTGCCCGTATCAGAAGAGGTCAGTAAAGCAAATAAATGAGATCCTTTGCCCGTATCAGAAGAGGTCAGTAAAACAACTAAATGAGATCCTTACCACACTGACTTGAGTACGGAGGCAAAAGGCGTGACGCCAATCCCACAACCAACAAGCAAAGCTACATCGTAGCCAAACACATCCTGAAATACCAAGAGCATGCACAGTGGAACAACTCTGATCAGGACATATGGCATTTTGCAAAAAAAAAAGATTTTTCAGTATACAAGAAAAAAGACAGCAGTAGCATCATTATATTACAGGGAATTCTGATCATGGTATTTTGGAAAAAAAAAAGGTTTTTCAGTGTACCAGAAAAAAGACAGCCACAGCACCAATATATCAATTTTTTACATCCTCTCTGATAATGCCTTTTTAAAATTATTTTTTTCTGCATTGGGACAAGGGCTGAATGTGAAAGAGCTGCTGGATGAACAACAGCAACAAAACAACCACAAATTTTGTTTCCAATGCTCATGAAGTATGGAGTATGAGTACAGAAACATTTTTGCAACGTTATTCCACAATCACCGAAATCAGTTTCTGGGGGTCTCAAAGTACCTCTTACAATGTAGTTTCATTTTGCTTGGTTATTTAGTTCCCAAGAATTTTTAATTGGAAAAAAGTCTCACATGCCCAAGTCAAGATTTTTATTTCAACTTCTTTTTCTTAACTTTTCTTAAAATGTCTGCGGTGCTTGTAGAACAACACCGATGATTTCATAGTTGAAATGTGTTATTTCTTGAAAAAAGAAAAAAGAAATTTCTCGTACATTTTTATAGATCCAGTAACAACAGCCGCGTTTTCACCTCTCAACTTTATGTCATGAAGTGGAAATATAGATCAATATATATGCACACAGATCACCACATGCAAGAAAAGAGGGACATTTGCAAAAAGAGGAAACTGCTGAACAGTTTGTTTGAGTAGGTGTTTTACAGCACAATTCCTGGTGAAGAGTATATTTCTGAATATTGATTTATAATGAAAATCAAAATATAGTAAAACCCTGATAACATGAACTTCCACGCATTCTACAGTCCATCAGAATTGCAAGTTATGGTGTATGAAATAAGAGAAAATCTACAATTTTAAATTTATGTCACTCTGTAGCACAGTGTGGCACAAGAAGTAATTCCCTTGTAGTCTTTGTATTAAATATTTAAATACAGGTAGTCCCAATTAAAATTTCACCATAAACTTAACCAAACATCCATATTTAACAGTTGTTTTTTTTCATCGTTGTCTTTGAGCAAGAGAAAAAGTAACCTACTGGCAAATATTCATACATCCTAGCTAGTTTTTATTGTGATGAAGGCAATTATGTCACTACTTAAGAACTAGAAAGAAAGTAACTGTCTCAAAGCAATAAATGCATTGAAGTCCATATTCCAATGTCTTTTTCTTTCCAACCTTCCCTAATGACTGCAGACACCAATTGACAGACATAACAGTGCTCTATCCAATCTAATCTTTGGTATTCACACAACAGGAAGGTCTCAACCAAGTGGATTTGGCACAAAAATAAAACAAAAAGATTTCTTTACGCAGAACTGCACCAATACAAGGAAGGAATAGTAACTTTGGAAGCCTCATCTGCAAAGAAGCATTAAATTGTCTCACTGAAATGCATTAAGCTCTAATTGACAGTTATAAAAGAGTACTGTATCAAATACAAACTCCATATAAAGGAAGACATCTACCAAGACATGTAGATTCTTTTCTTTCGTTATAGATGCTGTGAAGTTTAAATATCCAATGTTGCCAACCAGGAGTAGCCTGAAACTAACTATATGCTACAACACTTATCGTTCCATATAGAAAAAATGAAAATCAAATACATTCAAACCAGACAATACTTAAAAATCTTTACCTCTGTAGCAGTTCCAAAAGGTCCATCCACATAGATCCTGAGGACACAAAATAAAGCAAACAAAATTAAAGGACAATATGACACGTTGGCTTTTTAAAAATGTCAGCTATGTGATCAAGTTCCTTTTTAGTCGAAGAAACAGCTTGTAAACCTTTCATTTTCATAATAACATGCTTGTGCCTGGGTGTATAAATATTAACTATAATTACGAAATAAGGTCTAGAGATCGCCATGTTTACTGCAGATTAAAAAAACAAACCCCTTATGATAGTTTATACATATATAGAAGAATTATACTTATCTATAACACTTCCATACACAACTACAAAAATGATTTGGTAGATGTGTACCACAATGAGGGCCAAGAGTTGCAACACAAAGGGAAAAAACACTACGTCCTTTCTACATTGTAGAAACATGCATATAAACAATAAGCTTGTGCAATTTATAACATCATTTTTCTCTTCATTTTAAGCATTTCACCAAAATTTAAACAGCATGTTCAATCAAAACGTTTGAGGTGCATGCTCAATTTGTCTTTAACACGTTACACCCTAACTCGCCCGGGACCGCCCGGGAATTCCCTTACGCGCTCAAACCCCGACTCGCCCGCAACCGCCCGTGCCGACCTAGCGTCTTTAGAAACGAAGTCTCACCTTGATGAGACTCTGGGGCTGAGATTTTGATTTGCATAGTTATTGCAAAAAGTTTCTTTCGTTTGATACCGAAACGAAATTTTTTGGGCCAGTAGTTTTAGTATTAGAGCTGATAGAAGTGCGATCCCGTTACATGTACCGACACTTCGTAGGTGTCTCGACATGTTGAAAAGTAACACAATTGAGTTCGAAAAAGGAAATAACGATGGATTTGAGCAAAAACAAGCATATGACAAATCAGATGACTCAGATATTGATGAAAACGTTGTAGCAAGAGTTTGGGGCGATTCAGATTGATAAGACGTAGAAAATCTAGAATTTAGATCTAGGGCCCAACCGCCAGGCTGAGAGTGAGGGTGACGGGTCGGACACCTCGATTGAACTAAAGTTAGAACATTTCCAACAGTTTGCGCATACACAAAGTTATATTTTTCTGAAACTGCATTCATTATTCGTTTTAACTTTTATTTTCTCAGAATTTTTGGAATTTGTTAAGTACTTTTAAAATGCGTTTTTTAAAGGCAACTGTATTCACGGGAGGTGGGTTCCTTCCCCTTGCTTAGGATCTAACAATGGACTTCCCGTCCAGACCTTTACGGTGTAATGTGTTAAAAAAACACTAGATAATGTTAAACAATTTCAAAGCACTGCTAAGATTTTTATTTTCAAAACTGTGCAGCCTGGTACATCATAGTACAGTTTAAAGTACCGTGGCATCTTCCAGGCCTCTTGGAAATCTCCCTCATCCACATGGCACAGTTTGGCAACAGCCTCAGTCCAGTCACCAACTCGCCGCACGTGGACAGAAAAATATTCATCACCTGGTGCCTGGAAAGTGGGAGAGACAGAGTTGAATTGATTCATTTATACATAATTTGATTAACTTTGATTAAAAATACCATGTGAAGTACTAATATTATTAGTACTTCACATGCTCTGGGTTTTTGTTGTTTTTGCTTTTTATTGCAGTTTTCTTCTTAACTGGTGCTGTAATTATATGCTGAAAAACTGATCAATTTCAGTCTGTCCATGGTTTTTCTATTGAGCCCCATTTGGTGACATTTTGGTAAGACGTTTTGCATTTAGCTTTACCAGCTTAATTGAATTACAAATTACAATGAATCTCTTATCACTGCTTACTCATAAGCAGAGCAAAACAGGTGTACTGGTATCTAGAGTGCTCTTACTGAAGTCAAAGTGAACGGATGCCACTCAAGTTTGGAGACAGCCGGACACTGTATGAGGATGTACTGGCCTGGGGCAGCCCTGAAGCCTTTCTTCTGCATCTGGAGCTCAAATACTTGGGAGGGGTGAGTCACAACCTGGGGGGGGGGAACAACCAGCAGATAGAAAATGGGAACCCGACAGGGTTTCCAATAAATTTCATACACGTTAACTTTAAAATTGTATTACATTCTTTCAAACAATAGGTCAAAATAGATTCTTGTGGTTTATAATTCGCTGTGATCACTAGACAAGCCAGAATCAGGTGAAATAAGTGAACAAACTCAGTGTATCCTAGTGAGTGTAGGAGAATAAGGGAGCACGGGGTGTATATAAACAGACGGCGAAGGTTAAACCGGCCTTCCGAGCCACGACTAAAACCTAGTCTGAGCAGGGATCGACGCTACTGGTGGGTTGACACAGTGGATGGAGCTCCGGACCTGTACGACCCACACTCATCGTTCCCCGCTCGAAACAGTGAGTATTGAAACCAACGTAGATAGACTAACGAGTAGAATCTAGGATTAGATAGCACTTATCATCTCATTACAATTCTTTTCAAAAATATCAAAATAGATTAAAAAAAAAAAATCAGAATAGATTCTTTTCAAACAGAGATCAGCTTTATGTAGCAATAAAGTCGCTTTACTCAGCACACTACAGGTTCAAGCCTCCATTGAATCCCATAGAATTTTACTTTCAAGAATTTTTCAAGGATCTCTGAGACTGCTGGCTAATTCATACTAGAGATTGATGTTACAATTTGAGTACTTAGCTTCAAAAACTAATCTGTGTTGAAAAGGGCATTGCAAATAATTAATCATAAAAAGGTGGGGTAAATTTTTTTACCTGCAGATATAAACCTATGATGTGGTGTACTAAAATTCACCAAAGGTTGTAATGTCTATTATGCTTTCACTTATTGCTGCCTTGTGCTTGCCTGGATAAATGGTTCCGGATTTTTGTTTCTGTAGGGATGCACTGGGATTTTGTAAATATAACTAAGAATTTATGAAGTTGCATTAGTGAAAGACAGTACATAGACTGGGGTTAAACAGAAAACAAACGAATTCCTCAGAGAAAAAGCACATCATGACTTTAAGTACTCTTTTTTTTTTTTGGTGTTTTTTTTCCATTTTAACCCATCGAGGTTCAATATAACAGAAATAAAAATAAAACAGGAAAATAGCATCCCTACAGTTAAAAATAAAAATAGAAGTCAACATGACATTAGCTTAACACTGAGGTTTATGACCATGAGTAATAGAAACAAAAGCCTGAATTCTGTGCAGGATTGTATTTTAGTTGTGAGATACAATAGTCTGAAATGAATTCTGAGCGATATCAAGCACACAGTGTCTATATACTTTTTACTTTAAAAATTGGGGGCATGGGAAGGGGGGGGGTGCATCGAGGAAGAAGAGAGTCACAATATGGCATGGACACATAAACACTGAATGTGGAATGGTTGGCGGGCATTACCTTTGTGATGACCACCCTCGTCAACCCGCTGACCAGTCGTGCCAGTCGCTCCAACAAGTACAGAATCGCTGGAGCCACCAGCCACTTCCAGCTCTGTGGGAAATGTAGGAAAGATAATCAGAATAAGGCTTCAGGCACACGAGTAATCGTTCCGGTCAACTGATTTTCTTGTTATTAATATACTACACAGAATAGAACCAAAGGACTTGGGAAAGTGCTATTGTATCGAAAGATACAGGGAGAGAGGAGCAGAGGAAGACAGAGTACAACATACACAAATGGCCTAAACAGCTTTATGATCAAAAACACAATTAGGAAAACTGAGCTGATTAGGAGGACTAACAATAGGAAGGAATGGAGAACCATGATCAGCAATGTCTACTGCAGACCTAATACATAAAAAAGAAGAAAAAGAAGAATACACAGAAGCTAAAGATACTAAAGGCAATTGGCATCTGTTATTTAGTTTGAGTGACTCTTTTTGAGTAAAGATAAGCATATCAACATAATGAGGTTTATTTATTACAGGGAAAGAGTAAGACAGACAGACAGAAACAAAAGAGGTAGAAAAAAGAGGAAGGACCTACCAACCACTCAATCTTATATTTACATTATACACCAACCAGCAATACCTCTAGCAAGAACTTCTTTCTCTTATCCTTAACCAACCTTGACAAAACCAGACACAACAGAAGGAAAATCTCATTAGGATGTCCACTTTCAACAACATGGCATTTTGACAAAAGGCCCAAGCCTGAAAGACAGCTGGGAGTGGCAGCAATCACCCATCGTGTGAACACTAGACACATAAAAGTATTAAGTCCCTAAAGAGGGCAACGAAGGCAACAGTAAGATGTGAACGTACAGCCGGAGGAGTTCCCTCAAACTGTGGCACGTCGCACGGCTTCCCATCCCAGCGTTTCTCACTACAGCTTGGCACGGGGTGGTTAGACAAGTTACTCTGTTTGTGGATGATCATTCTGGGAGGCAATCCAAACACATGGAAAGTGATTAGCAGTTATCACTATAAAAAGAATATACTATAGTTGAATCTGTTCCTACAACTACCTGTCCAGGACAATCGCCTGTACAAACGACCACTTCTTACTTCCTCAATAGCTTTCTTTTTCTATTGAAACGACATTGTCTAAGAGGGCCACCTGTCCAAGAAGACTGCTTTGCTCCTTGACAATGGGTGGACATCTTGGACAGGTCTGACAGTATTTTAAAAAGTAATAACAGTAATCACAATACAATTATTATTATTATCATTATTACTATTGTTATTATCATTATTGCTGTCACTACTATCATAATTATCATAGTCAGTAATATAACTAATTATTATTATCTTTATTACTGTAACAATACACATTTGTAAACTCCCACCACAGGACTCCCACACTTGCCACATGAAACCTGGTTTGCTCATACAGGCAAAACTGGACACTTACTGGGCTCCATGCACAAGAAAACCAATGAAGAAGATGATAAACACGTGGTGGGTGAACCAGAATACTTCAAAGTACGAACGTCTGAAACAAAATGGCAGGCAAAAACTTATAACACTTTTGAAATACAAATAACAACATCACAGACCTATCTTCAAAATTCCCATATTTGTAAGCACTTATACTATCACCGTCTTACAAGAGCCAAAGAAATTGAGTACAAAAAAAATCTATAAGGACATGAACATTTTATACTTCAGCATATTTCGTGTTCTATATATATACTTTCTATGCAACGAATGCTAAGCTGAAACATCTTTTGATCTAGAAAAAATTAACCATAATTATATCAAGGTTTTTATCACTGTAGGAAGTGACCCTTCTAATAATACTAGATAGCATTTGTATAGCGCAAATCCCCGCTCAACAGCAAGCTCTATGCGCTTCACAATCTATACTATTACCCCAGCAGACCTGAGAGCATTCTGAAACAATCTCAACTTCCTGGGAAGCATACAGTACAAGCAGCAATTTATAGGTGCTAAAAACTAACATACTGACAAGATCTTTCACTGTCTATGGCTGGGTACCCATTCCCACCTGTGTGAAGTGAGGAAAACTCATGTAAAGTGCCTTATAAGGTATGAGTAAACTGATACTATATGAAAAAATACCAACTACAACTACAAAATCAACTTTCTAGCCATAAACATACCATTACTGTATGATCACCACAAAAGGTGTAAAAATCAAGACTCTCATTAAGTATCACGCTTTTAGGCCTAATCCCTTTGTCACAGGGGAACAATAATAAAAAATATCCTAAAAACAAGTCAAAACAATTTAGCCCAAATCAAGGTTACCATAATTTGACGTTACCAAATCCAGTTACCAGCAATCAACTTTTCAAACGGTGACTGGTCATTCACGGAAAGCAGATATTGTGTGAGGGATGCACTGTAATTATGTCGTGCTGTGATTAGGTTAGTCATTGTCTGTGACTGTTCAACGTATATCAGTCAGAGATACCAAACGTTCACAACTTCCTATCCTTCATGTATCAAAACTAATTATGCCCCTCTTATTCACCTGATAATCTCTGTTGAGGATGACACAATGATAATCAGACACAGCGTAATGATGACGCCACTCACTCCAGCCACAGACTTGAATACTTCACGAGTGGGGTCCTAAGGGGAAAATTTTAAAAATAGAAATAATAGTGGTGGTAATAATAATAACCATACTAATAATACCAATGACAGTGCTGAAAATAATAATAATGATATAATAATCATAATGATAATAATAATAATACGAATAATAATAATAATAACTTCTACAACAACAACAATATATGATAAAAATCATTACAATAATAATTTTTTTTAAAAAGCATTTGTAATTGCACATCGCTGCTCAAGAGCAAAATCTATGCACTTTACAATCTATATTATTACCCTTGCAGACCCTCAACGGGGGCTCTCATGGCCTAGAGGTTAAGGTGTTCGCCTCTCATTCAAAGGTCCCGGGTTCGAATCCGGGTAGCGACCAAAAAAATGTTCTTCTCTAAATTTGTCTCCTTTCACCTCCTTTCTTACTCTCTAGCAATATTCTGTCGCCTGCTTTCGTCTCCTCTTTCTGCCCCCCACCCATTCACCTCCTTTGCCCCCTCCTCTGAGCTCCTGATTCTTTCTGCAGCCTTTCTACTGCTACTCATAGGCTTCTTCTTACTGCTGTCTTTCAGCCACACCCCTGATCTTCTGGTAGGAAAGATCTACACCTAGCCTTCTCGGACAACGGCGAAAAATCTCGGAGGTCCCGTGTGCAAGTTGTGCACGTTAAAGATCCCTTGGTGGTCTAAAATCGATAAGAGTAGGCTTCGGCCGCCACCCGGGCAAAATTCAAAATTTCCTACCAACGAAAAAGGATTAGGTGTGTTCCGCGCGCTCATATGACCTTATGCAGTTGCGAGCGCCGTAAAACCCTATACTAAACAAACAAAACAGACCCTCAACATCTCAGAAACATTCTCAGCTCCTGGGAAGCATACAGTGCAAGCGGCTGATTAAATGTTCAAACACTAACAAACTTATAATATCTTTCACAGACACATTCACAAAAAAAACAACCTATGCAGTATATCACAGCAACATCTTATCTTCTTTTCACTCCATTGAGAGGTGAACTTTGAAATTTTATAAAATTATTTTTGGGGAGAATGTATCCAGACCACAATTAAGAAGTATTATTTAAAAACTTTAAAAAGACAATAAGACTAATTTTTAAAAAATGCATTTTTGTGAAGTGTTTTTCCAAACCAATGAAAAAACCCACCTAAAATCCAATCAAGATAGACTACTCTGTAAACATTTCTTTTTTCTTCTCTATTTCAGTAGGAATGTACACACAGCCTTCATGACTTACCAACAGGAAACAAAATTTTAAAATAATTCTGGATAATTCTAATCCTATAACAGGCAAAAACAGAAACTGTCAGATCTGTGATGAACTATGGCATACATGCAACATCATGCGGCTTATAATTGAAATAAGACCTTTAGAAATTTCTAGTAAGAGGTAACCCCCCCAATCCTGGACAACACCAAAGAGAGGATTGTTACTCACTGGATCCGAAGACCGGATGGGGTTCACCCACGTTCCATTGGGTGATGACGGAAGGTGGGTTAAACGACTTCTCAAGTCATTGCCGGTAATCCTATGGGCTTCTGCTAACTTTTCAAAATTGAAGCAGTGAGCACTTATGTGGATGGCTGAAAAAGTAATGTGAAATTGACACCAGTGTCTCAGAAGCATCCGTTACTTAAGCCACTATTTGAGATGGCCACACCTGTGCATGGGACATTTACAACATTACAAGAATGATAAAATGTTTAGATTTAGTAAGAGTTTTACGGCACTTGCAACACAATAAGGTCATATAAGTGCCAAAGATTAGAGGTGTTACAAGACAGTAACAAACACAAAAAAGAAAGAGGAGAGATAAGGACGATAGATGTTTGATAGGAACGAAAGAGCAAACCACACCAGTGCACGTGTCAACCACCCACAAAATTATAAAATAAAGATTATATCATAAACACGAGCTAAAATACACTATCCCGTCCTTATTCACCACTGACCCATCAACTCTAACAGCCCACTCTTTTTTTTGGCTTATGACACACTTCCAAAGCAAAATTCAAAAGGATGCTATGTATGTGTGAGTGGTGTGTGTGTGCGCGGTGTGTGTGTGTGTGTGTGTGTGTGTGTGTGTGGGTGTGTGTGTGAGAGAGTGTGCTGTGTGTGTCTGTTGTGTGAGTGTGTGTGTGTTTGTGCTGTGAGCGTGCAAGTTTGTGTGTGTGTGTGACTATGTGCGTGGAAATATATATACGCATGAATCAATTTTTGTGTATATGAGTGACAAAAGGAGGGTGAACTGAAGAGAATGGATAGACTGGGAGATAAAGAGAGAAGGCAAAATACACTTTCAGTTTAAACGTATCCTAAAAGCAGTACCTGTATGAAGACAAATCATGTAGGCAATATACTTGTGATAAGTAATATTTTTGTCCAGCTGTCTGCGCAGTATTTGGGGGCAGCACTGAAAATGAAAAAAAAAAGAAAGAAAAAAAATACAAGAAAATTATTACATTGAAGAAATTGACTTTGATAAAACGATAAGAAACGACATATTTATTAACTTATTCAGCGGTACTGATGAGAATTCTCACACAGCTGGTTTCCGCCTGTTTGCGTTTGAAGAGAACTCTTTCAACATTGCCTCTTTATGAAGCTAAAAGTTCAGTAAAAGAATACCTCCTCCCTTATTTATAGTCACCTGAGTAAGAGGAAAACTCCTCTAGATATGTTTGATTTCTTTTATAGTGTCATTTTTATTTAAACAAACAAGGGACATTTGCTTTTTGGTGTGATTTTCCAAGGTCTAATGTTGCCGAGGTTCAGCTTTTCACAATGGCCTCCAGTAGTTGAAAATGAACGATCGCAGTCCTACAATGTTTTTTTCCGATATAGAAGCTTTACAGTTGTTATTGAATTTTGATCAACAGTATGTTCAAATATCTAGTTCATCAAGTGATAGTCCTGACAGCGACTTTGATTTTGATGGCAATTGTGAGACAAGATATAGGCCAACTGGTACTCATAGGCTCATCACTAGATCTAGATCCAAGCACTACAGCTATTGCGAGCAAAGACGAGTGTAGATTTAATAATGTATGTTAATGAAAGTCAGTGTTGTCACAATGTAATGAATTCAGAGTTGAAAGAAATGTTTTGTGCTATTAATTCAGTAATGGATATTATGAAGAGGTTGAAACTTGCTCCTACACATCTCAAGTCAAGATATGGGTCATATTAGATTTTTCTCCAGCTTTTCCTGCTTTTCTACAGATAAGGCCAAAAATATTATATTTGTTTTTCTTGTTACTAACATCTTTCCTAGCACAGCTATGACAACATATCTGTACAACTGTGTTGTCTTGAAGTTTGTTTGTATTTCTGATTTGGTGCATGTCTGCTGTTGTGTAATTTTCATACTTCATTTCATGTTCTCCTTGGCAATATAAAATTTAAACTTACATTGGCATAAAATCTTCTACACTCACTACTATATTCAATACTGAGTAAGCAGCAGAAAAAATTTTGACGATGAGTGTAGTGGCTTTTTTAAACTCTCACCCACTTTTTGCAACATTTTCTTGGAAAGGATCATGACAGATGCTCTTGAAGATCACGAATGAACAATCAGTCATGGGGGGAGAACGATTAATAACAGGTTTTGCAGACGACATAGACGGCTTTGCGGGACAAGAACAAGAATTAGTCAGCTTAGTAGACCGTCTTGAAAAGACCTCCACAGCCTACAACATGGAAATCAGTGCTGAGAAGACCAAACTGATGTCTAACAACAGCAAAACCATCACAGCGGACATCCAGGTCAACAACCAGACGCTTGAGACCGTACGCAGCTTCAAATACCTGGGTGCAATAGTGACATATGAAGGATCAAAACCAGAAATAATCTCCAGAATAGCACAAACTTCAGCAGCAATGTATATCTCACAAAGAAGGTAACAGCCTGCTAAGAATTTGATTGTTACCATCCTTATCAATGCATAGTTACCCATTTGTAGCATGTCAAACTGAGGACAAAAGAAGTAATCTTATCATTACCATTCTGGAATTTTAACTTTATCAAAAATTTCCATAATATTGATACAAAAGTGATACTTACATCACAACATCCCCTGATATAGCTGAAGAGTTTCCTACATACAGGTAACAAAATCAGCATCACGTTGAAGTTAAGGCAAGCAGCACTGGCACGGGCCCAGCACAGAGAATTCTGAAAGGCAAAAGTTAAAGCCTCTAAATTAAAAAATGACAATCAATTAATTTTCAATATCAAAAACATTTCTGTAGCTATGAAAATACAATTCGTTCAAAGAACTGAGAAGCAATGAACCTTCAGGCGTCGATGTGCTTCTCCTAGAAAGCAAAAGTGTTCTTGGATTTTGTTACAAAACGAGTAACAATTTACACCAAAAACCTCCGGGCCAATATGAGATACACGAGATAACATGAAAATCAAAATCAACTGAACTGGATAAATCACTTTACTGGTTTTCAGTGATACTATATATATATATATATATGCATATGTAATTTTCCCCTCAACAATACAATAGATTGCTGTCTTGAACAGTTTCAACTGTATATATATATACAGTTGAAACTGTTCAAGACAGTAATCTATTGTATTGTTGAGGGGAAAATTAGTTGTCAAAGACAGATGGAAATCTTAGATACACAGCGTTATCACAAATTGAAAAAATACAAGGAGGAGGGGGGAAGTGGCTGTTTGTACAGGTGATTGTCTTGGACAGGTAGCTGTTAGAGTAGGATCAACTGTATTTATGTAAGCTACACTACTTGACTACCTGTAATTTTAATCAAAAGGGAAAAAGGAGAGTACAAAAAAACAACTAATACAAACCCCAACAAGACTCCGCAGGTAAAAGTACTCATCAGCATCTCTGTAGCTCACAAATGTCACAGCAAACAGAATGACATTGATAATGATCCATATGCCCTGTAGGAAAATCCCGTTTGTTTACATAAGATACAGAAGTGATTGCTACTTCATAAGGACAAAAATGGCCATAGATCTATTATAAGCTAAGTGAACCCTACCACATTAGCCTGTAATATTTTTCTTTTTTGGGCACTGTTTGGGAGAAATGGTCCCGGCCTAACCCTATAGACATTTATACACAACATTGAAAACCGAAGTCGAGTAAAAGTACTGTTAAACTGAGTTGCCTGCCAAACCTATTTGAGACTAGATCTATTTTCGGCACTATTCTGAATTCTAATGTTTTTTTAGTGTGCTGAGAACAATTTTGGAACTAAAAACTGCCACAAACTATTATTTTGTGAATTTAGCAGGGGGGCAGGGGGAGTCCCCCCATCACCCCCTTTTTTATAAAAGGCAACTTTCAGTTTTGTTTCCCATTGATCATTGTGTACATAATGGAGGCTATTCGGACTCAAATTCCAGTGCGCGTGCGCAATCACCGGTTGTACCGTAAGCGAGGTCTATACTCGAGTCCGAATAGTCTCCCGATGCTATTCTGACTTTAAACTACTGGTAGGCTATTACACTGCGTTTCACGACTACAAAGGGATCAAAATATAAAATTCATATATATAATCAGTCCTTATAAGACAGCCCCCCCCCCTCTCTCTCTTTCTCTCCCTCTCTCTATATTCCCTCCCATACCGTTGCCCACTGCCCGGCCCTACTATTATATTATCCTTTGTAAAGAAGACCACAGTTCGCACTGGGTCACCACGGTCGGTGTCCATTTGTTGTCAGTTCCTTGGCCAGATCGTACAAACCGAGGAAGGCCAAGGTCGAATTGCGTGTCTGCTTCACATCCAGTACACCTAGTGATTGTGCATGCGCATTGGAGTTTGAGTCCGAATAGCTATGGCCATTAAAAATTACATGCGACTACATGCAGGGCGTAAACCGGGCTACGATTGGCTGAACTTGCGGGTACTCTGGGAATTCCCAGTTTCGGTCTCGCACCTTTGACCATCTTCTCACAGCGGGTTTCAAAGTGCTCATGAGAACATGAAGAAAGAAGAAGAAGACGAAGAAGAAGAAGAAGAAGAAAAAGAAGAAGACGAAGAAGAAGAAGAAGAAGAAGAAGAAGAAGAAGAAGAAAAGAAGAAGAAGAAGAAGAAGAAGAAGAAGAAGAAGAAGAAGAAGAAGAAGAAGGAGAAGGAGGAGGAGGAGGAGGAGGAGAATTGAGGAGGAAAAGGAGGAGGATCTGAGGTGTAGATGGAGGAGAAGAAAAGAAGAAGAAGAATGAGGAGGAGGAAGAAATGAAGAAGAAGAAGAAGAAGGAGGAGGAGGAGAAGGAGGAGGAGGGAGGGAGGGAAGGTAGGGAAGAAGAAGAAGAGAAGAAGAAGAAGAGAGATGAGGGGGAGGAGAGGAGGAATTAGAGGGGGAGGAGAACAAGAAGAATGAAGAAATAGAAGGAGAAGAAGAAGAAGAATCTAGTAGTAATACAGTGGAACTCGGATTTAACGAGCTCGGATTCAACGAGAACTCGGGATTCTACGAGATGAGATAGATTCCCCGGTTTTTTTCTTCTTAAAAGTCAATAAAAATAACCCGGATTCAACGAGCACTTATATTAGCGAGCTCGGATTCAACGAGGTCGCTTCCAGGGTGAAAAGCCCCCGCAGATGTGGCTTCGCTCATTCTTCTCCCAGAACGAACTTTATCTATTCCCGAATTCCCGGAAACCAACCATTGCACCTGCATCGTACCAGCCATTGCACCTGCATCGTGAACCAGTATTCACCTAGCCGATTGCATGCGACCAATCAGCGGCCTCTTTTCATACTGGTCAACAAATGCATTGTTGGCACGCGCACGTGTCTACTCTGGCATGTGTCGGGGTCAGATGGGCGGCCTGCACACGTGTGACTGTATGTGCGTGTCGGGGAGGGGGGGGGGGGCACTAGCGGTCCGGCGTGGAACGTCGCTGATACAAACGTATCAGTCTTTTTTTTTCATCTCGGCAACTGATCATTATTACAATGATAAGCTATACGTAGATCTACGTAATGAATTGTGTGTTGGTCTATGGAATCAAAAGTTGCCGTATGGTAGGCTCTACACAGCATCGCAACTTTTTGGTAAACAATCGAGATGACACAGGCGTGTGTGCATTTGAAAGAATCGGGGCTTTTTTTACTCAGCTCATAATGTGCAGACATTTCAGGCACTACTTGTGACTTCTCTTTATACTTTACTTGGTCAGTGCCAGTTATACAAAACCTCATGTTTGCTATTATAACGAACACTCGGATTCAACGAGATTTTAGGTCAGGCCCGGCGACCTCGTTGAATCCGAGTTCCACTGTACATGTTACAAATTAGGGACTTTTTCGTTTCCCTCTACCTTGGGAAAGAGGGGGAGAGGGAGAGAGAGAGCAGAGAGAAAGAGAGAGAGAGAGAGAGAGAGAGAGAGAGAGAGAGAGGGAGAGAGAGAGAGAGAGAGAGAGAGAGAGAGAGAGAGAGTGGGGGTGGTGAGAGTGACAGAGAGGGGGTCGTACTGTCGCATCGTCGAGAGCGCCAAGAGTAGCCTACCATAGGCCTAATGTATCCGTGGGTCACAGGTTCAGCCAATCGTAGCCCGGTTCACGCCCAATGTAGTCACATTTTTACAAATTTATTTTGGCTGGATTTAACGTTGGAGGACCCACCATGTTTACGTGTGTATCAATGTGCACTAGCCATAACACAGTGGGGCTTGCTCCCCTGGCAAAAATAATATAAGGCGCTTTTTCGGTAGTTCCCACCCCGCAATTGTTATTCTCGGGTTTTGGCCCCAAGAGTAGGGGGGTTTCAGGGGGCCCCCCTGACCTAATAAAAATACGGTGGGGGGTTTCAGGGGGGCATGATAATTTGATGTTTTGCAGTTTTTAGGTTTGATATCTTAGCTCGCGGCGCATCAAACGTATAGATCCAGTTGTAGAAATCTAGATATCTAATCTAGGCTCAAATAAGGGGGGTGGGAACTATCGAAAAAGACACCAAGAAAAAAACACAACCTTCACGTTGGCAAATCATCAATTGAAACGGGAAGGCAATTTCCAAAGAGTTCTAGATCTAGATTAGAGTCTACAATCTAGATCTAGATCTAGATTCTAGATCTAGATAAAAAGCTAGCGTGATTTCTGGATTCTAGATCATTCAAGCAAGCCCCCCTGAGCCCTGAGCCTGAGTGAACACCCCCCTGTTATGGCTAATAAATATCTAGATTAAGAATCTGCTGTCATCACGGGGTAACAAAAAATCATCCCTACCACAAAAATCCATCTCGGTGCATCATTTTTATTCCATTTGATCATGTTTACAATGAACAAAGCGACTCTTTGTTTTGTTTCCGCGACAAGCTAAGCTTGGGACCAGGCTAGGACTAGGAGTGTTTGGGACGGGAAGTAAACAAACTTGTAGTTACGCCCCTTTATATTTGTAGGGTTTCAAATGTTTTTTGTGATTTTTGCAATCTTTTTTTCAGTACAATATAATATTGTAATTGAACT